GGAATCAGAGACGTATTCTACTGAAACAGTTTCATCATCGTCTTCACTGTTCTCCATATAAAGCATACATTCCTTTTTTGGTAATGTTACTATCTCTTGACCAATAGATTCTTCTATCTCCATTGGCATATGGGTTTCTTCTTTCTCACCACTTTCTTGAACTTCTTCCTGGTTTGAGAGAAGGCATAGAATCACTATCAACATAAGACACTTAGCAGAGGAATCTAAATTTCAAAGACAGAGAAAAGGGAATTTACCACTATAGGCGACATAAAGAAACTTCGGCGCTTAGAAGACTTAGGGTCATAACCTCCAGTGTAAAAAATTTCTTTGCTAAGAATCAGATCTGGCGAACAAGTCTTTGTTTGGGGAATGTTTGTGACGGTTGATGAGGAGCCATCAAATGGTTTTCTCCAGTTACAGATCTCAATCACATTCTTGCTTTTGTTTTCTTGATCATTCTTGTTGGAAGCTCCACAATGAGGCAGTTTACTTTTGGATTTAGCTGGAAGAATACTTGGATCATGACCTTTTTGGAGATTGTAAAGCAATTCTAAAATGTATCTGCGCTTAAGTGAAGCTTCCTTTGCAGGAAACCAATTCCTAGTTAGCTGAAAATAAGCAGAAAATAAACCAAGTTAACGGAAATAGTACACTAACAATGATCTGCTTACTAGGGCACAGTAAATTCATCAAGTCAGATCATCATATCCAAGGAGATGGAAAAAAGACAACTTACAAAATTTGTCGATCTTGTGATGAGGGAAGGATTGAATTTAGCAGGAGCTTGAGCAACAAAAAGATCCAAATAGTGGAGCAAAAAGAGGCCACAGTCAAACGAATTCTCTTGCTGCGGGAGCTGAAATTGTTAAATGAAGCAATACCATCAGAAAAGCCACTGAAGAAAAATTCACAGTCCACAACAAAAATATTGATCGACTCCACTAATGTTTCTCGAAAAAAAGCCTACCAAAACTGATTTGATATGTTAGACACAAACAAGTCTACCGAAATAAAGCTTCACCTATCAAGCTCATCGACATGTGCATCTATAGCATGCATACATGCAGGGTAACTATGTAAACGAGATCTAAAACCAGAGATTATACACAATCATGACAGAAATAAATTACTTTCGACACATGCCTTCTATCTGAGCTCAAGAAAAAACTCATCCTTGTTACGAAGCAATACCTCAAGTGAGATGCACTTCAGATCTGGAGCTCTTGAGAAATCACTTGTGTTTCCATGCCTCGCATTCCACTCTTCACGTAGGTAACTATGATCACGTGGGCATGTAAGTAGTTCACTCATGATGTACTTCAAATATTCATGATAAAATCCATGCATTGGACTAGGCATGATAAGTAGAAGTGAAAAAACGAAAGAATAAAAAGACGTAAATTTATAGAGAATTAATGATGACTTCCCATGAAAAAAAACAATCATGAACTGCATACCCAAAACCACATAGACAACTTTGATCTCAAATGAAAAGTTGGATCCAGCCTCCTATGGATGATTTGCACCCATCACTATATTAGCCAGCAATAACTCTCGAGACTAAATTCAAAAGCATTCTGACTCAAAATGTTCTCTTAAAATCCAAATGTCAAGAACGAGTAAATACAATGGCAGTGAACTTTAATGAAATGGTTTAGAGCATACCTCGGAAAAATGTTTATGAGACCATCTTTGTGGCTTCCTTTAATTGAATCCAGATGCAAGATGCAGGGAAGCCTTGGTGGGTTTTCAACTTCATCATCAGCAGAGTGAAAAAAATTTCATTAGCTGTAAAACTTAAGTTCAACGAGGATAAGACAATAACAAAGGAAGCTAATCTTACCATGAGAAGGAACCGATTCACCAGGATGACAGATGATAATCAGACTCCAGTGAAAACTGCAATCAAACGCAAGTATAAGTCATCTTATCAGCGGTAAAGAAAAATAGTTATGTGTGTGACATGTTTTCACCTGCAGTTTATAGGAATAAATATATAATCTTTTTCAAAAAGATCCACATTCTTAGTCCACTTCTGCACGCGTTGGTATGCTTCCTTTCCTCCAAATGTGCTAGGTGAACCTTTGTCTAAGTTAGCCAGCTTACGGAAAAAGAAACAATTGAAAAAGTGGAATCTGCCCTGTTCCTCCGGTGGAATCCGACTTTTGAGGTACCTGCAAATATTAAACCCAACTTTACAAGATGCTTCGAACTAGCATATGCATGTAAAAGATATATAAATGCAAGCAAATATAATACAACATAGTTTTTAATTATAACGCAAACCCCTAACATGTACTCATGCTACAGTTTTTGAATATTTTCAACAAACGAGACGAGACCTTACTTGAGACTCATGGAAAAATGATGGACCCGGTCTTGCTGTTTTTGGCTTGTAGGCATTCTATGCTCTACTGATACAATTTTTTTTCCTTATAATGTTAAGTCAATATGGAAGAAACTTACTTGATATAAAAATCAATGATTGTATCGTTGACGAAACGTCTTGGCTTCAGTAGCTCAATGTCTTGCTTCCTAACTACTACAGCATCTGGGTCTCCTTGAGGGTAAACTAGATCTTCAAATGAATCAGCAAGGCTGAAGATCAGAAGACAAACACCACATATCAAGAGGTAAGATTAAACAAAACAGGGCCAGTATCAAAATATCTATATTCAATTGAAAGCACCAGGCCTTTCTATGTCATGCATATACATGTTGACTATATATTTCAGGGAACTAGATGGGGCATCAGAACCAGATTCATAATAAAGCACGCCTCCAGAAACTAATAGAAAACTCTTTCATAATTTTTCACACATTTAACTCTCAGGTAGCCCCCAGCATACATAAGTCATAACGTCACATTAAAGAAGAGTACATCACCACATTGTCAGATTACATTTAGCAAAATTCAGAATTATAAACAGCGTTATTCAGGGATATTATAGCTCATACTCACTTGGTGAGTGAAGTTCCCAAATTGTGTCCACTACAAGCACTTTCCTCGCCTTCTCTGTCAACATTTAACAATGACAAAGAAAAAGTTAGAACCCGCCAGATATTTTTCTATCTTAATAACTTATCTCTCTCATTTTCTTTCTCCCTAAACCTTTTTATAGGATTTGTGCACTAAGTGGTCCTTGTTACTATTGTCAAAAGCCCCTTTCATGAATACATTCGTGCAGCTGAAATCTTCCAAGAAATCTATCTAGCCAACGATAAAAGAATTGAACGTAAGAGCATTTTTTATACGACAGCACATATATATTCTGTTCACTATGTCATCAATTCTGTTAACAATGTGGAAAATAGAAAACAAAATATATATACTTCAAGACTTGAGCAAACGACCCAGTTGAGTCATATACCACCAACATAATAATGCTGGAAGGGGAGACAACCGGAGAATTGCAATGAAGATACTAACAATGGCTCCAATAAGTATTTTTTGATGACTTACGTTATAGTATCAAGCCAAATATCCTTGTATCTTGAGTCCAGCAATTTGACGGTTTCTACTTCTTTAGACCATTTAGGGTCACAAACAGAAAATTTGAGGAGATCAATACCTGTCAGCACGGGTGCAGATGTTAGTTAGACTAGAGTTGACATAGTAAACATCAATTTCCAATTTAAAAAAACCCCTTGCATGAAAAAAACACCCCCTCGCACTTAACCTGAGATCTCTTCAGCACTGTCAACTCGTTTAGGGTCCCTGGACTTCAGAAGGACGTTGACAAAGGCAGTCTCAACCTAAAAAAACACAACTCAAGTATCATAAAAAAATACATCAACCCATAAATGAAGATCTAGCCGAACTCACCTCTAAACACCACTGAGACTCAATTCTGATGATATCTTCTATTTTCCACTGACAACTAAAGGTTCCTTTAGTTGCATTTACTGATGAACTCTCGACATTCATACAGTTGCTTGAAAATGTTAACTTCGAGTTTGTACAGTATATATCTCCATATACAATAACATCAGGGTTAATGAGAACTTTTGGATTCTCGGAATCCTGTAAATGCAGAAAAAGGAAAAGCATGAGATACTACTTGCATATAAACTCACGTGCATACCTCTTGAGACAAATAGCAAATCGACAACTTTTCAGGAGAAGAAAAGCTTATAGCATTCATCTTGTTTGTGATCCTTAACTGTCTCCAACAAAAAGAATAGTAAATACTCGAAAAGACTTACAACTTCATGTGGAACAGAAGCAGAATTCGTGGCTTGTTCTCCAGTTGAGGCTAAAATAATAGGGAAGAAATTTTCAGGGAAGAAACAGCAAAAAAAAAACTGAAACTAGATAGAGAATATTAAATGCTTAAACCTTCATCATCTTCTGACAGAGATGATGAAGTTGATGAACTGATTCCAATCCTTCCATGAGAGCCATCAGAGATTACATCAATAAGGTCACTCTGCAATATATTGTACAACAAAAATTATAAAATTTCTAGACAACCTTATTCCTTATAGGAACTCTTTCATGGCTGTATGACAAAGGCTTACAGTTCCATATCCGCTATGTTCACACCTTGACCTTTTTTCTTTTGTTGAGAGTTGGACTGCAAGAAGCAAAAGTTTATTTAGCCAAGCTAGATGACAAATAGATAAATTATAAAGCAAACGGCCATTGCTGGAATGGAGCTTCTGCAGTAACTCATATAGACAATCGGTGATAATAAGACATTTCTTTTATATGATCAAAAACGTAAATCACAAATGAAACAACGGTGTCGAGGGCTCATTCGAGTGTTTAAAGTGGCAAACTGTAAATGAGTAGCAGAACCACAATTCACCCTCTTTATGGACACTATCTGATGAAATATTATGAATTGAAATCTAACATAGGTCATTTTCGATCTACCACACTAGCACTAGCATATCAAAATTTGGAACGCTACCCTATTCCCAAAACAATTTCATCATTTGCAGTAGAGAACTGTCCTTCAAAATGTAGTCCTCTTACTTTTACCTTCAAGATCAATAACTCTGTTGCCCAGTTCTTTGCTCTCGCTTCGGGTGTTCTGCACAACTGCAATAGAAAGATATTACACAAGAATAAGATCATCGTTCTCTTGGGTTACCAAAACTTGTATTAATATTGAGACTGCAAGAAACAAAAGTTTATTTAGCCAAGCTAGATGACGAATAGATAACAAATGGCGATCGCTGGAACGAAGCTTGTGCAGTAACTCATAAGACAATCAGTGATGATAATTCATTCAAATACTTTAATCACAGATGAAAGAATAGTGCCTAGGGCTCATTCCAGTGTTTAAAATGGAAAAAAAATGTAAACGAGTAGTGGAACTACAATACCCCTCTTTATGGACACTATCTGATGACATATTCGAAGGATTATATACTCTGCTAATCTACCACACTAACACAAGCATCTGACAATTTGGAACTCCACAATTTTGCCCATAACAATTTCATCTGAAAATCAAATCAAAACGATGTAATTCTCTAACATTTACCTTCAACATCAATAACTCTGTGGTCCAATTCTTTGCTCTGGGTATCCTGCGCAACTGCAATAGAAAAGATATTACACAAGAATAAGATCCTCTTTGATCTCTAGTGTTACCTTGCAAAAACCTCCTGATGTTCTAGCTCTAAGGAAACATCATGATTACTCGATTATGACACAGAAGTGAATACAAGACCACCTTCATCTTCCGATTAACAAATCGACACCAGAAATTATGAATAGAGAATTGAGAGAAGAAGCACTTACAGAATCGGAGAAAGTCATACTTATCGATCGCTCGGGGGGTTTTCGTTAGTGGGGAAACGAACTTTCGTAGGAGTTTCTTCGACATCTCTTCGATACGTTCATCATCGTCAGTGTAATCGAATACTCCGATCTGCTCGCGCTTACCACCGCTGGATCGAACTGACGGCAGAGTCATCGTCGGCCAGGAAGAATAGTGAGTTGTTCTAGTTCCGACGGCTGGAGAAGAGAGAAGGATCTAGACGTATTCCGTACGATTCACCCCCGAATTTGAATTTGGGTTTCGGTTTTTTGTTTTCTTTTTCTGGTTAGGTTGATTTCGGAAATCGAAATAAAATTCTAGTATTTGAATAAAAAAATCGTACCGATCAAAGTGTTTTCCGTTTTGCCGGTCGGATCCGTTCCCGGTTTGGTTTTTTTTTTTGGCACAAAGTAATTTACGTATTCCAATAAAATTCAACTGCAACCGGATAAAATGTGAAACATTTTTTGTTCACGGTAATTACAAGCCTCGACAATTTGTTTTTGTTGCTAAATTGTAAATATCCCTTATTACTCTAATTGGGAAGTCTAGTGTGTCATTTTCACACACTCTCTCAAAAATAAATATGACATAGCTTTGAAAATTTGTGACATTGCAAATTTGAATCAAAACAAAATCTTTTAACGTTAATACAAGACACAGAGATGCATCAAATCTTCTGAGGCTTTACAAGTTCTTGAAAACAAGGTTTTTGCTCGTTTCTTTAGCGAGAAATCACCTCTTATGAAAAAATGACAACTTACAAAATTTGTCGATCTTGTTATGAGGGAAGGATTGAATTTAGCATGAGCCTGAGCCACAAAATAAATAGTGGAGCAAAAAGAGGCCACAGTCAAACGAATTCTCCTGCTGTGGGAGCTGGATTTGTTAAATGAAGCAATACCATCAGAAAAGCCACTGAAGAAAACTTCACAGTCCACAACAAAAATATTGATCGACTCCACTAGATTAGTAACATGTTTCTCGAAAAAAAGCCTACCAAAACTGATTTGAATATGTTAGACACAAACAAGTCTATCGAAATAAAGTTTCTTTCGATATCATGTGAGCAACAAGACATCAGTGGGCCTTGGTGAAACAAGGAAGGACAAGGCCCAAAAGGAGATAGAGTAAAACCCAACAATTGAGCCCACTCAACCAAAACGCAAAAGGACAAAAAATGTGAACCAGAGGAACGTTGAAGGTGGTACGGAGAAGGAGAGGCTCCTCCTTGACAACAAATTCACAGCTCTCGGATCCTTATCCGATGAGTCATCAAATACAGCTGTTAGCTAGAAGATAAGATTTGCTTTTTTGTTCTATATTGTTCCTCTAGGTCTCTATATGAAGAAGAGAAACAAATATTGTAAGTTTCATCGGAAATAAGAGTAAAAGTTCATCTTTTCAATTTTCTCTACA